ACTACCAGCAGCTCCGAGGGAGAAAGACAGGCTGGGCTTTCTCTGAAGCCCCCAGAGAGTTGCTGAGAACATTGGCTCCATGCCAGGGAGTTTGCGTTTTGGGGGCTCAAGCTGCATAACGTCTCCACAGATGTTTGAAAGCTCCCTGAAGACGATGATCACGTGTTCCCGCTCAATGAAATAATACATGAAGTCAGATCAAAGATTTCTTTGACTCAGTTTATAAGGTGCGCTCTCGGAGGATAGCGCTGGGTAACTTCTGAAAGTTGCATTCTTAAATCTGTAAGACAATGACAACACTTCATCTTTGAAGCCCCTTTCTGGGATATTGCGGAGTAAACAGTTTTCCCTGAGCCCCAGCTCCTGGGACACATCTTAACAGCCAGTCTTCATATAGCACAACTCCCAAGTCTAGGCAAGCCACACAAACCAAGGTTACTTCCTCCCGGACAGCAGTAATTTCAGCAAAAAATAATTTAGATTTTTTTACTCTGCCTGAACTAAGCTGATTAAAATTAAATTTAAATCTGTAGGATGGAACGACATAACCCTGGTTCAACGTCCCTGCAGACCTGGGTGGCAGGTGGCTGGAGGAGGTAGACATTTTGGTATTGGGGTGGGGAGTAGAAACCCCACCAAGGGATTATAGATAGGCCCCAGAGAGTGATGCCGGTGAGTACATTTCCTGCAAGGGTGGGAGGGGTGGGAGCTGTGCCTGTTGAATATCTTGGTTGTCCAGGTAGCACTGGCTTACTAGCACCCTCTGGGAACGCTAGCCAGTGCAGGGTGTGGGTGCAAGAGGGCCTGCTTTCATCCACATCTACCCTCAACTTGCCAGTGATTAGACTTTGCCCTTGCATTTTGTGGTGGGGAATGTTTTCATTGCTAAGAAACTGGATGACATGCAAATAAGTTTTTCCCCCCAAGCAGTCTTACTCATAGCAAAAGGGCAAAAAACAAACAAAAAACTTTCATCTTATCCTATTTTTTGCAATGGTATTTCTTGAGTAGATAAGAAAAATTAAATTTCTTTTTTTTGATCATTTTATTAGGGGTTCATACAACTCATCACAATCCATACATAACATCAATTGCGGAAAGCACATTTGTGCATTCATTGTCCTCATCATTCTCAAAACATTTCCTCTCCACTTAAGCC